CTCATACTGCGCATGCGTGCACATGGTGGTACGAACTAACGAAGATGTAAAAAACTACCTGCTTCGTATTTCTACTACTAGTATTTATACATGTTTGGGAAGAGTGGCGCCTATGACCTGAATACACCGACTAGATTTCCATACCGCACTTTTTTAACTAACGCGCATGCGCATGATTTCTCCACCAACCTTCACCTTACAAAACAGTCTGGGAAGTTTTAGTTTAATAGTAGTAAAACTAGTATACACAACGGCACGATACATTACATCATTACACCACAACAAATGTTTGTCTAAAAGTTAAAACAAGTATGGACATAACTTCAAGCTCGGCATGGAATTTTCCGTTATACTAGTACTGCAAACGGAACTTTCACTTCTTTGTCTTTTATGAATCAAGGTCACGTGACACTGACTTGTCGCGAGCTTTGGTGGGCACGTTTTTCAATACTCTGGCTTTGAACTTTGCATAAGTTCTTTTTCATCGACACAGGAAACGTTAAATTCCACAATCCCGTGAAACAGCAGCGTTTACACTACGCACTGAACAGGGTATGTCCACGTTCACGACTCGTGTTTATGAACGCAATTTATGATAATTAGCCGTTTCGACAAGAAACGACACAACACGACGACAACAAGACGTCGGTGCATAGACATATCGGTACGTTTTACGTGGGCAATCACCATCGTGTCAATGTACTTTTTGATGGCACATTAAATTTGAAAAAATGCACCTTTGTCTGGTGCCTACATACGACTAAATAACAAATCGTTTGATATTAATTACGAAAAAATAATCGCTCCTCACCTTAATTCCATGCGTAAATTCATTTTATCCTGTAATCGCCAGTGAATTAATAAACGCGTAATAGTTGAATTCACGATTATCTGAGTTGATAGATACGTTGACACGGTGACCTTAGAAGACACAGTCCGCATTCAAAACAAGCTTCCTCTCATGTAGTAGTATTTGAGTGAACTCACCGAGTCCTAGCCGCTTGGCACATTCGACCCGGTTTTCTAGGTTTCCATCGCCTGCGGCTAGGACTCCCGGGTATGCGGGCTACTGCCCTACCCTCCTAACTCCACACTGGCAATCGTACGGCGACACTGCGAATTTGATCTATTTTTAAGTTTCCAGGGTCGTTATCAATGACGTCACAAGGTTATACTGAACAGTGTAATGGCAGGGGAATTTACATGAACAATAAAGCGCATGCGTGTCATTGAAATCACCCCTTATTATAAAAACTGGTTTCCAGCATTGTAACGACACACCGTTGGTGTCTGCGGTAATATAAAATAATATACAATATGTAAGTGATCAGAACATGAACCCGGGCCAATATAAATTATGATAAACAAGTCATGTATGACACAGTCTCTGTGGTTAAAGCGCGGTGGTCGTCGTGCAGCGCGTGTACGAATTTCATGTAAATAAACAATGTATTTTACACGCGTTGTATACGTCGCTATGAGTCCCATATCGAACAGGACGCGGCACGATGTCTGTCGTCCTTTAACATTTCAGACCTTCCGTGAGTTTGAAAATAACACTGTGCCAGACATTTCATATTGCATAATTGTAAAGCATTTTAAATCACCTGGTGCCAGCAGGGATCTTTGGCAGGATGACAAACTGACTACACGTGCAAATATGTGTCATGATATACACGTACAAAGGTTGTTGAAATGTTTATCTAGGTATGTCCGGGATACTGAGTTCGGAAGCGCATACTTCAAAAACACAAGAAAGTAAATCGTCACCAGTTGGCTATTTTAAATGGAAACAAGCAGCCTCTCGGCTGAGATAGCTCCGCTGTTAGCAATGCACATTTCAATTAAAGAACAGAAGATATCATTAGAACATGAACAAAATGTATAGTATCAAAACAATCAGACTTGCGGTTTTCAACAAGAAGTGGAAAATATCACCTTTTACCAAAAATTTCAAAAATATTCATCAAAATTAGAGGAATGAAGATATCATCATGAAATGAACAAATCTAAGAGAGGTCTACCCAAGGTACATATACACCAAGTATCAAAGCATTCAGGCTTGTAGAAAATCGTTCATGTTCAAATATCATACCAAATCCTCAAAATTATGATTATTCTTCATTTTAAATTCAAAAACAATCCGATCATGGAAAAAAAACTTGATATGCACATGTCAACTATTATGACCTGTCACTGTGTCAACTCTGAGCCATATCGGTCAAAGCATAGACCCTCCAGTAGAGGAGGGTCTATGGTCAAAGCATGTCTGGGAAGACTCCAAGAAGACCAACGTAAAATAAACAACAACAACAAAACAGAGCATACATCAGTAACTCAGTACAATCTAAGATAAACTAGTATACCAGGGATTTGTTTAAACAAGGGAACAGGGGCACATCGCCCTCGTGCGATGGCCGTGCGCCCCCTTACCCTGTGGAGCAGATCCTCTGGCAACCATAACATTCTGATTGACCAGGGATCACATGTGGCCACATTCTTCAACTGTGACCTGTCTGATAGTAATTTCAAGGAAGCCATAGAATGCTCCATTTTAACTTATTATCAAAAACTCCACACCCTGGTAGAGAGAACCCTATCTCCCCCACTTAGTGGCGCCGATGAATTGCAAAGCTCCCTCTTGCATTTTTTTTTCTAGAAAACCCCTGCGTACCCAAATGAAAAATGCATGTCAGTGACTAAAAATGGCCGCAAAACGATCCGATTTAAAAAAAAACGTTAACATGAGTGAAAAACAAAAACCAGGACATACTTCAGGCACCCAACATATAAAACCACCATACCAAGTACGACAACAAGCGACCTAACGGTGGAAATAGCCCCGCTGTTCTTCCTAAAGTAGGTAATTTTCTGTAACTATTTGCCTTTAAGTTATCATAATGATCTTGCCATATCACAGCCACGGTAGTTTATTTGGCCGTTGCCATGGCAATTACAATTGTTATCTTGCTACAAATTTCATGGGCCCTACATATCATGTACCAAAGCAAATGAGCTGGCAGTTTTCATGATAAGTCATCAATACCCAAAATGGTAAAAATATTTGCACAAAATAGAGAATTGAAGATATCGTCACGAAATGAACAGATCTAAGAGAGATCCACCCAAGATGCCCACATACCAAGAATTAAAACAACTTTACCAAAAAATATTACAATATTCGCTAAGAAGCGAGAATTGAAGTTATCGTCTCGAAGTGAACGAATCCGACAGAGTTCCACAAAAGGTACCTACATACCAAGTATCAAAGCAATTGAGCTGGTAGTTTTCAAGAAGAAGTTGAAAATAGAATTGTTGATGGACGTCTTCGAAGACAGCGGAGCTAAAAAGTAATATGTTCAAATAATTGCATTTTAGTGCATTTTTTTCAATGGCCGCCAGTTGGTCATTTTGAATGAAATTATACAAAAAATGAACATACATCAGACGTCTAAAATGTATAACTTTAATATTCAGTTTGAAACAAATTGGCATATGTGTGTCCGGAAAAAGTAAATTTAAAAGTAAATTGATCGGATCACACAATTGTAATGCAAGTGCCCATTGTCCAGATAGGGTACGAGTTATGTGTAGAATTTGAAGAGAATCGGATCGGACCAGGGAAGTCTGAGATGTAGGTGCAGACGAAGGCACTGGGGCAAAACCATACACCCGCGCTAGTGCGTATGCGGCTTAAAGTCCCAATTGCAATGAGGATTAACTGGTGGGCATGTTTGATTT